AAAATCACAGATTTCTTGCTCTCACTCCCTTAATCTGTCATATTCCACTAGGAAATAAAACATTACATGAGAAAGGTCAAGGAAATCGTGAACTATCATGATCTACTTATTGATGCCAGACAGTGGTCAAAAATCAATCCCAAAAGCTGAAGGTTTCATTTTCTGAAAACACAGTATTTAGAACAATAGACAATAAATAAAACAGGAGTTAAAATATGTTGTAAATAACACTGATAGGAATAACTTTTGTTTATGAAAGGATAATTTTCAGAAATAAGTGAACATCAAACCCACATTCTACTTTAGGGATGAATCTGAATGAGTCTTAGTATCAGGGCACAATTTCTGATACTGTGAGACGAAGACAAAGACAATGTGAAACAAAGACTGGTTAAATGGTCATTTAATTATTGAATGATAGACTCTGCTGTACCGCTGAACACCTTCAAAGCCTTGACAACTCTCTGGACAGTTCGAAAATCACTGTACAATCAATCAATTGATCTTTGTGGAGGAAAAAAACCTTGAAGAACTTCTAAGTCTTTGTTCTAACATTTTCTGGCACCATCTGCAACCCATGTTGATTCTAAAGCACTTCTGGAGTCTTTTCTAGAACTTTCAGATAATGGGAACAGAGATTGCTATAGGATATAGACCTCAAGCAATGATAGAGCAAAGGACTTCATAAAGTCCATCCTTCTCTTTTGTTGGGGCCTTGGTACTCTGCCACCTTCCTTTGTCTGTCCATTGTGCTCTATGAAGTTATGAGAGAACTTGAAAGTGAACTCTTCCAGGAGATGTGCTACTCAAGAAGACAATGGTCAGATGAAGATAACAGTTTTTAAGCTAATGAGCAAAGATGAGAGCTACTTCCTTCATGTCACCTGTAATCTTTAAAGCAATTTATCTGTGCTGTATGTGTCATTTGTCAGTCATCAGATGTCAGAAACAGACATGAGACACTTCTTATGTGTAACACCATGAGCAATTGAAAGGCAGAAGGGAAAGGCACATACAAAGCAAGAATAGTAACAATAGGATGATAAGGCACATGTAATACAATCCAATTTTGATTTAAGTTTAATTAAATACCCTAATACTCTACTACTGCATATTACTAACAATAACATGAAGATTAATGATCAAAATGTGTAAGTGTTTCATGTAATTTGTAGTTTTCACCTGCATTTACACTACATTATTTTCATAGTGTCCTACCAATCTGCTATCCTGAATTCCGTTACACCTTCGAATGTAGCCTTACACTGACACCCAATGGTGAAAAAGGTTGGCAAGAATAGCTTTTATCCTATGCAGAGAAACTGAAAAATATTTCAAATAGTTATGAATATGAATAAATGTTTAGGATTTCATAGTTTTCTATTGCTTTTCTATCAGAGGGAAATCACATCCTTGTATGATATGGTAATGCAGAAAAGGTAAGATAGGCACTGTACATATTATTTTAGAAACAATAAATTATAGCAAACACAAAACAAATGCAGCCAAATTCAGAATATGTGGTAATCCTGTACACAATAATTATAGATTGTGAAACTTGAGGGTATCACCTTTATTAGTAAAGGCTGCCTGTGTTTGTACTAGTTTTGACCCATCCTCCTATGAGTGCATAAAACATGAATGGGTTAATTAATAATATCTAGTGTTAATGCACAACAACGTTAAGGCAGAACATGGGAAGTACCCAAGGTAAGATGTCAGAGTGCAGAAATTTCACTTTAGCCCTCATTTCATTAAGAAAAAGGGTGTATTTGCGTACAACACTGAAGCATTAAAAATATTTTACATTTGTTTAATTTGATTTTTTTAATGATTTTAAATTGTATTCGTGGTGTACTAGGAAGTTGCTAACAGCACTATTTACAGTGAACGCAGTGAAAATACTCACACTCCATTTTCTCTTGAAGCTGACTCTGTGCTTTTTGCAGGTCACTGATGGCTTATTTTAGAGGTGAGCAGACTACACCCAAGCCAGACAAAGCTTGGTGAATTTATGTGCAAACCTATTACAAATCACAGTAAGACCACAGGCCAAAACTAGGAAATCAGTAGGAAGCAAACATCACATTCCTATATTTTATGATAAAGAGATAAAAATAGGCCATGTTACACAAAATTTCTGAAAACCTTCAATACTTCATTTACTGTCTACAGATGTTTATGATCTCCAAACTATGTTTGCTATTTTTTGTTTCGTTACTTTCACAAATACTTTCCCATTCACAAAATGGAAATGAATTAATTTTACAAAACAACCTAGTTTATATATTTAAAGACAAAGGAAATATGTTCCTTTGTGCCAGCTGGATTAGGCAGAACTGTTAACACCAATTTTCTAAACCAATTTCAAGACTGAATAACCAACCAAAAATGTATCAGTGGGGGAAAGCGCCTGTTACCAATATAGTTAACAAAACTGCATATGCAACAATGAATCACACAAATTGTAAACTAAATATGCCAAGAAGACAAATTGATAATAATATATGTGTTGTCCATTAGATTCTGAAGGATGGGGGCTTGATGCATTTCTCTTAAATCTCTTAAATTTGGCCAGGACGCTGGGGTTACAATGGTAACATACACTAATTTGATAAAGGCAATGGGTACATAGATATACAGTATCTCCCTCATTGACAAAGTCTGTGCAAAAATTTCTTTTCCGCTTCTTATTAGAAACTAAACTAAAACACACAGCATTTGCATTGCTCCCTCTCCCTCTCGTGTTCTTTTGCAAGTGCAGAAGATTTTGGGACCTTTCTTTCAGTCTTAGGAACATAATCATGAAGTCTAAACAGAAGTAAATATGATTTTATGGTATCCTGCTCTCATTTTGTGGGTAGGCTACTTATTTCCATGAATCAATTATGCATTAGGGAACTAACATGCTTGCTATATACTATATAAGGAGGATTCTGTCGTTCCCTAAATTAAAACAAACACCAATTAACAGAACAAGTGAAAGGTTTATAACATACTGAAAAGAGAAGAAAGGAAACACAACGTTTCGGCTGTGGAGCCTTCTTTGAGTGTGAGCCGAAATGTTGTGTTTCCTTTGTGTTTCTTTGTGTTGTTTCTTTTCAGCATGGAATAAACCTTTTACTTGTTCCTTTGCAGCCTACGCATGCTGACACAGCTATAGTACCTACTGTACTTGAACTACTTCAGCCAATTAACAGATACTTTTTGTGAAACCTCTTACAGGACATTGTATATAACTTATGTTTGTATATATGCTATGTACACACACACAAGTAAATTACTTATATTCTGGATTGAACGTTTGCTTTTTCTCAAAGCTCATCCATGTAAATTAGAATAAACTGACTAGAATAAGTTCAATCATTCTAGCAGGATGCCTACACTAGGTTAGATTGTCTGTTCTAACAACAGATGTGAGCTCTATGCATTATACCTCATATTCGTGTACTGTCAATTGTACTGCATATTAAAAAATGAGGTTCATTCATCATGTTTGTATAAATCCTAAATAAAGTTATTCATGTACCATGAAACATACTGTATTAAAAAATATTAAGTTAGGAACATTTTGCTCCTTAGTAACATCTTGTTATGTAGCATTTGTTACAGTATGTTAACATTTGTGATAACACAAGTGGCATTTATTAATCCTGCCAAGTTACAGCAGTAGGTTTTCATTTGGAGCCCTTTCAATCTGTTCTGTTAGTGGACCTCCTTATAGCCAAAACAGTAATTGTTATATCGACCCCCCCCCCCCAACAATTAATTACATAATTAGGGAGACGATTATAGCAAATGTCTAAACAGTGATGTATCGTAACGACTGCAAGTGCTGTAGCCCTGCCTTTATGTTATTATTTTTTTACTGGCCATAAAAGACTAATATCACAAGAACTGAAGTGTTCCTTCACACATAAAACAGGATTAGAAAGACCTGTTATAAACCATGAAGCAAGGCATTGAAGAGCAGGGATATCCACGTCTGGTCCTGGAGAGTTACAGTCTAGCATGCATTGCTGGTAACTATTTAACTGTCAATTGCAAAAGAAAGGTAGTAATTGAACTACGTGAGATTATTTTAGCATTTAAAACAAAACCTGAACGCAATACATTGTTCAAGGATTAAAGGTCTTGACTAAGTGACTTGCTTATTTGATCAATAACGTACAAGTGTTTCCTTTCCTTAAGAACAAGAGAGTTAGGGTGACGGTTAACTCTTTCTGGATTTGGAGGTCACTAGAACCAGGAGTGGACATCCCCGATCTATTGATTCTTACCGCACCTCGAGTTTAGGCATATGAATAGATTTTTAAAACCTGTCTTGAGATTTTAGATTTCCCCTCAAATACACTGACAAAATATAAACTAAGAAGGACACTATTTTATCAAAACATAATACATTGTGAAACATCTTGTGAAACATCTAGAGGACATTATACATTGGGGAATAAATAAGAAATGAGAACCACGATAACACTAACAAATGTGTTTTCACAATGCTTGTGTAGCTCTTTCACCATCGATCAGTGCCAGTATTAACCATTTCCAAAGGCCCAGGAGCTCTGTGAAACCTCCCAAATCATCCAGTGGGACTCAATGACCAGTTGCCTGGGAAGAGATGATTGATATACCTTTACAGTCTTCATAACAATTATAAATTGTAATTAGTCTGAGGCTTGCTGGGACCTGGGTATTAAAATTTGGACATTTCTCAGTTTTGGTCACTGAAATAAGACAAATAATTTAGAACAGGAAGGTGACTGAAAACTACAGTAGGTTGTGAGGTCGAGTCATCAGAAGAACAAAGGTTTGGTGCTTCACCGCTGAAACAGCAGTGGGAAAGGAAATAATCACAACTTGCACTGCACTTTTCAAAAGGTTTACACTGGTACTAGTGTTACTTTTGAGAGGGTTCTGACCTAGCTTTAAAATATGACTACTAAGCTATAGAAGCAAATAATACAAGAGCCATGTTTTAATTTGGCATGGGATTGCTCGTAGTGTGATATTTTCAGAGGTTGTGCAGTGTTTTTTCTGCCGTTAACTCTGCAGAGTTGAAGCAAACCAATGGGAATTAACCCAGACAGGCCTTCAGCAGGAGTACTCTCAAAACTGGTGATGATGGATCCTAGACCTTCCTGGTCTAAAAGGTGCTTTTTTCGTTCCTGCTCCTTTGATGACACCCAAATGCTCCGGACTCTATCCTTAGGGCAGGCAGACCCCGGCCCTACTTCATTCCTGTAGCTATGGAGTGCAAGGCACAGAATGGACTCCGTTTTCCACTGTCAACCTCGCCTTCTGTAGTGCAGCCTGGATTCGGAAATGCGTCCTGGACTCCATTGAGTAATTCTTGTAATTCTGCCTGCAACACGTACAAAAAAGGGAAATTCCCTGAACACAGGTCCCATTCAATATTATGTGAATTAGACAGGTGAATAGGCCACTAAGAAAAACAAGGGGCCACATTTGAATGCATAGATGGGGGCATAAATAACAAGTTAGAACCCTATGTTCATTCTTTTGAACTGCCAGAAGACAGTTTTTCAATACAATGATATTTGCTGTGTAATGTACACATTCTCTGTGTGACTCTTTGGACAACAAAGTTTTCAAAATCATGTGCTATTAATAAGAGTAAGATTGTTATTCTTAGTGGCACAGACTGCAGACTGTAAAAAAACACGCATTTCCCTCTAGTACTGTGTTCCACTTGAGCTTAAACAGAAAATTCAGCGTCTTGCGTAGGTATACCCCCTTTCCAATGACATTCCTTTTTGTTGGTTTACAAGTATGGTATATGCACATATAATGCAAATATGTTTAATTAAAACTGGAAAGCTAAAATTCAACTATTATGGGTGAAAAAAACTATTTTTATAGTATATATAGTATATATCTAAGAAAAATTAAAAAGTTTAATGTCAAGTGGGCTGCAAGAACTCACCTTCCTGAGGTAATTCTTCATGGAAGCCCTTTAGCATCAATAACAGCTGTCATTCTTTTTCGGTCTCTACCAACTTTGTTAATCTGAATGGTGTAATTTTTACCCGTTCTTTACTGATGAACAGTAATTTCAAAACCTCACCATAGATTTTCTATTGAATTCAAGTCTGGACTCAGGCACTCAAGGACTTTAAACATCATCTCGTTAAATCTATCTTTGGCCTTATTGGCATGGCTGAGGTCATTGTCCAGCTGAAAGGTTACTTTTTGTGTCAGTTTTAGAAGACTGAGGGAGGTTTTCCACCAAACACTGTTTTTTTTCCAATTTACCAGTCACGGCTGATGAGAAGTAACCTGGTAACATAATTTGATCACCACCATGCTTGACACTAAGGATGGTGGGAGATGTGCTGTGTTTGCATTAACATTAAACAGCTTCAATTTTGACTCTCATGACACCAACGTTTGAGTCTCTTTTTCACCACATGTTTGTGGCAAAAAAAAAGGGCATGGAGTGGTGGCACTGTGGCTAAGAATCTGCACCTATGACTGGAAGGTTGCTGGTTCAAATCCTGTGGCTGGCAGAAGAATCCTACTCTGTTGGGCCCCTGAGCAAGGCCATTAACCCTAACTGCTCCAGGGGTGCCATATAAATGGCTGACCCTGTGCTCTGACCCCAGGCTTCTCTCTCCCTGCCTGTGTGTCTCATAGAGAGCAAGCTAGGGTATGTGAAAAGACAAATTCTTAATGCAAGAAATTGTATATGGCTAATAAAACGATCTGTTCTGAATTTTTTAAATGGTCAACAATACTGTGGTTCAGCATTGTGGAGTAGTCAGAATATTGTTGACACATGTACATTTTCTCCCATCTTAGCCACTGAACTCTCTATCTCTTTCAAAGTCAGTGTTAGCCTAATGGTAGCATTACTAACCAGTTTCTTCCTTGGCCTACCGTTCAGGTCATAGGGACCACATGATCCAGACAGTGTCTGAGTAATACACATCTGACTTCTTAATGATCAACTTTCCTATTTATGGTACTGATGTACCTTTCTACAACTTTATCCCTGAGTTGAAACTTCATGGTTGAAACTTTTCCTGAAATTCACTATATGAGTACAGAGATATGTATATTTATCCTGAAATTAGCTGACCCACTATTACACACAGCCAAAAGCCATACTAAAAAACATTGTGTGACATACAGTATCTAATCCGATTTGTACACCTGAATCTTGGTTTGCCATAGCAAAGGGGCTGAATACTTATGCAAATATGTAAAGAAAATATGTCTAAAATCTTTTGTGGGTTGCACAATACAATTTTCATGTTCATCAGGGCTATTTTTTACAGGTCAAGTCTCACCTTCCTTCAGGCGTGTGGTAACTGATTTTTGAAAATTGTGAGCAATTCAAACTGCAATCACGTCAGGGGAACACCTAAGTGATTTTATTATTTTTATTATTTATGATGTATTTTATTTTGTGTTGAATTATTTAAAGAGTAGTGTATGGTAAAGAAATGTACAGTTTTAATAAACTCATTAAAAGGCAATTCTGACTTCTTAACTTTATTGTGTATTTTAAGTGTACATTATATTTGTGGTTTATTCTACCTGTACAGTTGTATTTGTTTTCATTCATCCTTATTTCTTTCCTCTCAAACTTTGTAAACAGGGTAGTTTATTTTTCTCTCCACCTCATCGGCTGCTAGCTGCTGCTACATTTTCTCTCTCTTTCTCTCTACCCTCTCTGTGATCAGCACACACAGCTGTTAACCATTAAAGGACAATACATCCTGGTGAGCTTTCAATTCTACTCTACTCCCTTCCTTGCTGACAGACACAGCTAGGGCAAATAAGGACGGATCACTGCAATGTTGTGAATGGTGCTTTTCTATATGGATACACACAAAGGCTAAGAAAAGGTTGCTTCTGACTTATGTCAGATTCAGGTCATGTAAAGATTTGAGAAAACAAACTCTTATTTAACCTCTGGAGTTTTAATTTTTCATTTTTGCTGAGAAATAACATTTTTCTCCCATAAAAATGATTAGTATGCCCATTCAGGTATTGTCCTATGAATCTGTAGAGTGAACAAACTCCATTCCCATAGTTAATTTCTGCAATTCATCAGAAGTCTTTCATAAAGGATGGGATATCCTCATTATCAAATCCTCTGACTTACTTTGCTGTTTCCAGGAGTTTGATCCCCTCTTCCTTCCTCCCCAGCTCCATGCACAAAAGCCCGTGTTCCAGCAGGGCATTTGGCACTAAATAGTGGTCATATCTGATTTGTGTTTCACTGCAAGGAGATGAAATTACAAGGTTTAAAGTGTTAATATATTACGGGTTGAAACTGATACTGACAAAATTTAAAGAGTCATCTTACAAAAGAAGTACTTGAATCAGCACAAAGGAAGTGCAATCAGAAATACATACTTGCAGAGGACAAGGGTAAAGTAATGTTCTGCTTCCTCATGGTACCCAAGGTGCTTCAGACAAAGGCCTTTCAGAAGGCTCATCAGACACTGGTCATCTATTGTGTAATCTGATGCTACAAGGACAAGATTGAGACTCAAGTTCAGCCAAGGCAGATCCACCCTGAAAAAAACACTTTGCACTATTCATATTCCTGGCTGCGCCTTGTGAAGTCATCTGGAACATTCCTCAGCTTATCACACACCACTGCATCAAGACATCAGGATGGCCACAAATGAGAGGAGGCTTTTTAGCCCATTGTGTTAATTTGGTTCTATGTCTGTGGTTTCATAGACAATACTGGTAAGGGAAGGGACTGCTTAGAGTCAATTAAAGATGATAAGACCTACAGCACAGTACATGTCTGTGGGACCATATCATTGTGCTGTTCTCTTTTTCTGGTACTAAGCTTTGCCAGTAAAAGCAGTAGCTTTTCCTGTGACACCATTCACTGAGCTAAGCTCCTGGATCGCATTTTTAGTTCAGTCAACCAATAGAGCAGAGGCAGGAGAGCTTGGTTACAGAGAAAAAGTGGTTTGATTGACAACTCGCTATCCAGTACTGGGGCAACTTAAGGGGAAGACAATCATCCTGTTACAGCGATGGAAGTGGCTATCTGAGGTGTCTCTGGATTTAGAAATAATGGTCAAACACGAGTCAAAATTGTCATGGTTAAACACTAGATTCAACTCTAGTGTAAACATCTTCATTTATCAGAAGTTTCAAAACAAGAAAAAAAATAGGGGGCCTGAGACAAAAAAAATAAGTAAGGTTTACCTTGGATTACTTTAGAAAATATTAAGCTCTGGGTAAATAACTAAGCATTATCAAAGGTCTAGAAAAACAAAATTGTAATTCTGTTGTTTTTGAGGAAACTAATTTCCTGTATAAAGACTCCCTAGGTTCATAAAATAGTATCGCCTGGTTAGTGACTGCATTTTGTAGAATAGGAAGAGGATTTCATTCATTTGTAGCATTTGGATTTACAGAGAGAGAGATCCAACTCTAGCTTGCATACTGTTTTATTTAGAAGGCAGGTTTAGTTCTCTTGTGGGCCTGTTTAGATGTTATATAGGGTTTTTGAATACTTGACAGCAGTCTAGGTTTTTCTAGGTAGGATGTACAGTAGGCTTCTGCGACTCCTTGTTTGTAAATAGAGTAACTTGTGTGTTGTATGTTGTGTTCTGTCATTGTCATTATTAATAAACAGGTGTTTATCCCAGCTTGCCTGTAATTTATTACTCCTTCTACAAAGCTGTGACAAAAAACACAGTTAGGTGCCTCTAATTATAACAACAGCTCAGGTACATTTTTGGCATATCATTACAATTTAGTGGCTATGATTATTTAATTACTTACTGATTATCCCGCTTGGTCTATTTCTGTAATTCTCTATTTTCTTAGCCCCCTATTAGTAACAATTTATCAGTAGTTTTTAAACAATGCTTCTCAGCCAAGCAGTACATTTATTATAATGCAGGGCATTACTTGAGTTAGGTTCCATCTTCTTCTGTGCTTCGTCCAGAGTCTTTAACATCCCTTCTGTCAGGTCTCGGTGCTTTCCAATCACTGTGAACCCATTCCAGATGTACATCATTTCCTGCATAGAAAGGGGAAATTTTGAGGGAGGACAGAAAGAGCTCCTACAGCAACAAATACACATAAAGACATATAAAGCCTATAGGGCCCCTTTAGATAGCCTTCAGAAAGATTGAAGTGATAATATATTGTACTTATTAGAGAAAGCTGTAAACATCACAGCATGTACTTCATGGAAAAAACCCTAAATCTATATAACCTAGTCCATCCCAGGTTAGTGGTCCAGGAAGTATAATCACTGATAGCAAACTGAAACATTTTTATGTACTGTACATCTGGCACAGGGGCACTCCTGCAACAGACTCCTAGCAGAGTATGGTCTGTGGGGGTGTTGTTGAAGCCAGACTGTTTAGGTCAGGGACTGACCAAGGGAGGGGCAGGCAGAGGAGTGTGGTTCTCAGCGAGGTACCGTCTGGCTTTACGGATTGCAAATTTCTCAGTGGGTAAAGATTTCCCTGCTATTTTCTGTTTCAGTCCTGGGACCTGTCTGGAAAAGGACGAACACAAAAAAGAAATATTAATGAAAAGCCCCATTTTTAGGTTTAGATAGTATTTGTCAAAACTGATTGTTTTTTAACATTAAATAAAAAAACAATTGAGAATTAAACAGTAACGATCAGTTAACATTAGTCGAAGAAGACATCTGATTAAATACCAAAAGCACAGAAATCTTTATTTTCCTTGTGTAAATGCTGAAATTGTATATTATCATGTTTTCAGGTGAAATACCATGTGTAGCCTTCTGAACATTAGAAAAATTTGGAATTCAATAGAACAATGTTTATGTACTGTATAGTATAATGCTGTGTGTTAAACTGTAAAGTAAATTGGTGCAGGATATTTATTGAAACATGGAAATGGATTCTATTGTTAATTGTATTAATGTTTATCTGCACATCCCAAAGTCCTACCTGAAAAGCTCCACCTCACTCTCACCAAAAGGTTTGCACTCCTCTTTGCTCAGCATGCTGAGGTACGCACCCTTCATGTAAGCATATGTGGCCTGTTTAAAAAACAAACATAATGTTATAACCTTAGGACTGTTTTTCACACAGACAAAAAACCGACCCCGCCAAAGCCAACCTGAAGACTATATCTAGGTGACTTGTCTCTTTCTTACTTTAATTTGGCTACATCTTGGTTCAGGACTATATACACAGAAATTAAAATGAGCACACCCCTAACAAAACCAGAATATTCCAGTAGGTCTGTCTGCTGCAGGCCCCAAGAAGCCATGGTAACAACTACTGTGGTGTTGGTGCCTGCTCTATTTTCCGCTTGGTATTTTGTCACAATCGTATTACCTCCATTTGAACATTGCTCTTTTAAATAGATGTTTATTCCCACATTTTCTCAGTTAAACAATTCAGAGTGAGAAATAGAACAGCAATTGCTAAGTTCTTAAATACAGCAAAAAAGGCAGGGATTGATGAAATGGTGGAGATTAGAAAATGTGCCTTCTATGCCTGGTGCTCAGGACTCAAGGCTCAGTGCTGACCAGTGGTATGTCCTATGGATTCTCACTTTGGACCAGGCACTCTCTTTGCTCAGCAGGTCTGCATAGAAGTAGGCCATCTTCCACTGCTTCTTGTAGGTGAAGCACCACATCAGCTCCCAGTAACACATGTGGTGAAACTGCTTCCAAAGCTGCTGGGCTTCGCAGCATTCCTCAAACCGTTTTATAGCCTAAGAGGCAGAAAGACAACCACATGAGACTTACAGTAGACACACATGCCATTATAATCAACTGGCAGGATTTGCTAAAAGGACAAAGGGCTAAGGTTATTCAAGGTTCCTGGATGTGTCTGTCTCACATGGAATGAAATCTAGTGGAAGACAATTGTGTTTTCTATTCAGATGACTAATCTGTGAAACCTGTAAAGGAAATAATAGTGCTATATATAAATAAAAGCACACGTTTTCCTAGTAAAGTTTCTTTTTTACACTTAACTATAAACCCGCCTTTCCTAAATATGGATTTGTCTGTTCGCAGTCGGCTTGTCTTGGTAATATTTTGTACAAAATGTGTGAAAGTGTGTCTAAAATTCTTCCAGTGACAATAATCACACATGGACTGGCAAACCCACCAGGCAGAAAGGTAACAAAGTAGAAAGTTCCAAAATGCAATAATGCTGATTTAATAATTTTATCTATATAGTGTATTCTATTTTGTATTTACAATTATAAAGTGAGATACAGGTATGGACTTCTGTACATAGCACATGAATTTGCTAAGTCAAATGCAATGCAAATGCAAAACCCAGTCTGCAGTGCACTTGATACTCACAGTGTCCAAGTTTCCTTTTAACTCTTCAATTCGTCCAGCAAAAAACAGGAAGATAGCTCCCTACAACAAAGAAAGACAACACAAGGGAGCTGTTAGGATTGAATTATTAGGAAATGTGGTTTAGCAACGGTTAATATTAGTGAATTTATTTTAATAAAAAATTAATAAGTTCTGTACTTTTCTCACCTTAGGATACTGCCTGAGGTATGGTTGCAAAAGCTTTTCTGCATCCTCTACATCTCCGTCCCCTGTCCCTGTTAATACAAATACAGATGTTGGAGACAGAGTTAGATTGACGTCAAAATTTGTTAAGGGATTTTTTTTACATACATTATATTTTTAAATATATTATGTGAAAATCTCATTTGAGTGCTGGCACACTATTGTAGCCAAGGAGAAATGGTCAGTGTACTGTCCAGATTAGAACAGAGCAGGGGATAGTGTGCAGCTGAGAACAGAACAATACAGTGCACAGTGTGCACTCCAGAACAGAATAGTGTGATACAGCATACAGAGGGTCTCACCAAGAATGAAGCTCATGAAGGTGTGGTAGCAGAGCAGCAGCATAGTGCACAAAAAGGCCCTAAAGGTGTTAGTTGAGGCTCCCTCCTGGAGCTGCTGTAACCCATGCTCCTGAAAACAGAACAGAACACAACATGCAGCAGTGAGGTTCCAACCTGAAGCTCACTTCCTGAAACACTGCTTCCTCTACACCCATCATTGCCCTTTGAACACAAACCACACACGGCCACATAGGGATAACAGATCCTTGTTATAAAATGGCTGGGTAAAATATCCATGCACTAATTGTCTAACTTTGGTTTTTAACAAATTACTGGTTCATTTAAAATAGAAAAAGGTGAGTGTATCTTGATATTGAAAAACAAGTAGTGCATTTGTAAGTGCATTTAAAATGAGACCAAGATAACCACTCTGACAAGGGCTTCCCTAGGCATGTCCTGTGTCAGCTCTTACGCGAGACACTGAAACGGCATCAGGAGAGGTGCGTGCCGGGAGAACAGACTGTATTCAATTTTCACTCTAAAACTGTGAAAAATACAACAGCCGCCATGGCACTCTGTCATGTTATTTCACAAACCCACCATATTCACTTCAGTAAACGAATGTGACAGCAAAAGCAGCAGGAAAGAAAACTGGAACTATATTTATCTGTGAAATCACGCTGAAAAAAATTTACCTTGTTGCCAGAAAATCCCACAAATTCTAGCAGCCTTAGTATTCTTGTGGGTAGCATGGAGAGAGTCTAAATGGTAAGAAGGGAAAACAATGGAAAGAAGAGTGTTACACAAGAAAGATGAGAAATGAGTGGAGGCCATTCTGCCTATTGAGCCTGTTTGATTGATTGAGCCTAATCGATCTGCAGATACTATACCTCCCAGCCTTGTCTTGAAAGAAATCAGGCTATACTCCCACATTACTCTGCGTACAAAATGCCAGAATTCTCTCAGTTTAAAATGTTTTTCACTGTAATTGAATGGTACCATTTGTATTTCATTGTTGAGTTGAATAAGTCCAATGGGTGGATCTGAATTCAAGGATTCTGAATACTTGAATCAAGACACCTAATCTTCTGCATTCAAGGTTTACTTATTTTAGCCTGTCAGTGTAGGCCAAGCCCAGGGATGTATCTGGTTGCTTTACTTCTATGACAGCAAAATCTTTTTTGTTGACAATTTAATTCTAAAACAAACGTTTCTGAAATACTACTGTCCTGAGCTCTATGTTGGTGACTGTATTTTTGTTGTATTGTTGTGTTGGTCTCAACAAATTTCCCTCAGGGGACAATAAAGCTTGTATTGAATTAAGCATATCTACTATTTCAGATTTGGCTGCTGACATGCCAACTGTTTTTTCCCAGGCTTTTATGTGAGGAAAAATGAAGTCTCCCATGAAAATCAATTGTTTTTACACATATGTTCTTAATTTCTTTTCACATTGTTGAATTAGAATTAATATCTGCATTTGGTTGTCTGGCAAAGCGGTTCATACTTTATTGATAAGAAAATAACCTTTTTAACGTTTTTGAAGTTGAAGAAATATTATTCGGCTCTTGCCAATAAAGTAATATTTTAAAATTAAATTTGAGGTTCATGACATCAATGGAAAATTACTGAAATGTAACAGTAGTAGCAGACCTTTTAGGATCTCCTCAATATAAAGTGTAAAAAGTTAAAACATAGGTATATCAAGATTAACAACGAATACTCTGCTCACCAGATTAAAGGCTCCAACCCCAAGTTTGGCACCAGCTTCAAAGTGACTGTGATTCTCCCCCTGAGTGTAGTTAGATGACTGTAAAATGGTGTGAAGTTCCCTGAAACACAGAATAGGATCAACTTACTGATCTAGGACCTTTCACACTCCTACTGATTTGGGATATTACAATATGTCAAATGATTCAAACAGCTTTAACAAATGTGTTTTTTACAAATATAATGGCACTTTTCCCCTTTAGATAAATCTAATATCTTTTACATTCCAGTAACCCAAAAAGAAGAGTAAATTGATCATTCAATCAATTTGCTCATTTGGCTGTTGCTCATTTGGTTGTACACAAGTTATTGATCCAAGTATCTAATCCAGATGTTTTTTTGAAAGACAAAGGGATCTGCATCACAAACAGACTGGATAAACACAGGTATTTGCAATAGTGCAGAATAATTATCGTAACCATCATTCATCCATCCATTTTTGAGCTGCTTCATCCAATCTGGGGTCTTGGGGAAGCCGGAGCCTATCTCAGCCAGTAATGGGAACAAGGCATCCATGACAGGGCACACACAGACACAAACACACACTCTCACGCCAGAGACAACTTTCCCAGACGCCAGTTAACTTAAGCTGTTTTCAGACTGTGGGAGGAAATCAGAGCACCTTGATGAAAATCATGTGAACACAGGGAGAACATAGAAACTCCATTCAGATAGCACCCCAGGTCCAGAACTGAATCCAGGACCCCAGCACTGTAGCAGTACTAACCACCATGCTGCGCTCTGTAACCATCAGGATTGTTTAAAACTGAAGTGGTAATTTTATATTGTAACGCAACGGGGGCTCAGGCGGGCGCCCTTGCCACATTAGGTCGGCCCCCACCGTTGGGGGCTCAAACCCGGGACTCCCGTGTCACTCTGCAGTGACCCAGCCCCGTGAGCTAAAGAGAGATCTCCCTATAGCCCAGTAGCTGTAGTCCTGCTATCACAGGGAAGGGCGGTGACGTCACCTGCTCTGGTACGCCGGCTCTTACACAGTGCCTGTCGGCCGTAAGCGTTACACTCTCCCCCGCTTAAATTACCGTCCCCAGCGAAGGGCTATCCCATCCCACTGCTGACATCAATGTAACGCAACGGGGGCTCAGGCGGGCGCACTTGCCGCATTAGGTCGGCCCCCCACCAGCAGGAGCTTGAACCCAGGACTCCCACGTCTCTCTGCAGCGACCCAGCCCCGTGAGCCAAAGAGAGATCTCCCTACAGCCCAGTAGCTGTAGTCCTGCTATCACAGGGAAGGGCGGTGACATCACCTGCTCTGGTACGCCGGCTCTTACACAGTGCCTGTCAGCCGTAAGCGTTACAATATTTACCATAGGTTTAAAGAGAGTGATCTCCTCCCATGCCCCAATGTCTGTGCAGATAACCAGATAATGACTTTATTGCATTGTATAAGGCACGAAAAAGAAGCGAGATTAAAAGTGTCATTCGCATTTTAGATTTTACATAATTGGCCACTAAAGCACAGTTCTTGAAAAGTACTTTAAATGTTGTGAAACAGAGAGGAGAAGCTCTTACTTATAGGTCTGGTAACTGCTCCTCACTTTGATTCCCCCTTTGATGAAACTGATCATGTTTTCATCCTGAAAGACACACAGGCCTAAGTTGGATTCGAATTCCGAGACTGATTTCCAATCAGGAACATGTACTTTTTTAAATGCATGTAGCTTTCCTGATGTGATGTAGTGCACCTGTCATTAAACAGATGCAGATTTGCAAGACAGAAGGCTTCTGAGATTCATTTAACAGGCTTCAAATTTGTTTTCCAATTGGGTTTGTCTCTGCATGTACGTGCACTGATCTTTCATTCTTGATATGGGTGTATAAGGACTAACTGTAAACAAGGATAATATGATGGAAAGACTCTGATCCTAAGAGAGACGAAAACAGCAGGAGACACTGCTGGTGAAGTTATTCATAGTCCATGTTGCATGTAAGCAAACAGGCAAGTCAATATTCTAGTTCAGTTCTAGTATTCTAATTGGTTCTGTAAGGAAAATAATCAGATAAACAATCAAGCATCATTAATTCAAGAAATCTTTTGTGCAGGAGAAAAATGAAATGAAATAAATTGACAAAAGCAAATGATTACACAATGCTTGATTTGCATGCCTGCTTATTCCACATGTTTTCCGAAATTTAACACCATTTCAATCTTATAGACAGAAAGGAAAGTAAGCTTAGCTTGTGGTGGGGAATGTCTTGTCTAAAAAGAAGTGACAAAGCATAAAAAACAAAGACATCAGAGACAGAGAAAACACAGGCTGCTTACCTGGAGGAAAGTGAGTGCTGCTCTCTGCAGGAGACACTCTGCATAGCACAGCTCTGCATGGATCTCCTCTGGGACACATGGGAGAACACTATTACCTCCCCTACTCGTATTTGGCTCATTAATACAACCTTACATTCTTTATTACATTCTTCACATCATTATGCTGTTCACTAATTGGCAGCTGGTTACCATTTTCAATGCTATACTTGTAATTCTTTATACAAAACCTTTTTTGGTTTTTGCATAAATAAAATGAGCACAGTAAACTTGAATAGCCTGGTACTAAAATGAAGGTTTAAATAAAGTTTGAATCTATTTCCCCTGCCAGGTTTGCAATTTGCAGCTGCTGGGTGGACTGAAGTTTTGATTTAATCAGGGCCTACGCTTGTGCTGCCAAAGGTAACGTACAATAAATCACAGAAAAAAGCATTTGTTAACAATTACTACAATGCCAAATTTACATCTATATCAATTTAGTTCCTTACATATTTCAAAAATAAGGTTTTGTTACACTGAACATTGACTCATTGCTTTTGACTGAGGTCACATAATGTCATGCAGACACTTAAAAGCTGAAAAACAAAACAGTCAACAGCCACAGATGACATGTTTAAAAAGCGCACTTCACAGCAACACACTGAGAAGTGTGCTCTTCTGTAGCGTTTCTGTGGTTTTTTTTACAGGAATCAAATAAACAATGTATATAAAAAAGCCCTTCAGAGCTACTGATTAAACAATGTGCTCTTAATGTCTTCCCATGCACAGACAAATCCAATCACACTTTTCTGTAGAATCTTAGCATTGGACAAAAAGAGACAGAAAAAGCTCAAGGGCTGAAGGCAATGCAAGCATATCACTTTTTGCTCTGTCCTGCTGATTGAGTTTTTTCCCAGGCAAAACTGGCACCGGAATTATAAACTTCCAGCTGAAGCTCTATGAAAGGACAGAATAGCTGTGGGAACAACACTTTAAAAAATGTGAGGATTTTTCCCTGGATTCTACTTGATAAATTGAGAAAGAAATACACTTTTAAATGGGGTGCAAAAGCTTTGATAGTCATATATAGCATGTATGTATGATAAGCCTTTTTTGGGAATTCAAAGCTTTCTCTTCATGGTAATCAAGGATTGTGTTGGCTGTGTGGTGTCAACTTCAGTTAATGTAAATCAAATAAAAAAAATGTCATAAATTACTTTTAATTTATTAAAAAAAGTTTTAAGAGTTTCATGAAATATTAAAAAGAGAAAACAGAGTCTCATTAAACAGGAGATTAAGAGTAGCAGGCAGGTGTATCATCGCACTTGTGTATCATCTCAATAATAAATCATTTTAGAAAAATGTCCTTCATCCACTGACCTTCGGTGAACTGCTTGTTCATGAGGCTGTTGAAGGAAGGTTTTTTGCGGAATCTGAAATAGAAACACAATGTGTCAGAAAATGCTATCTACAAGCCTGAGAGAACTGTTGAAGCCCTGGCACTGTTCACACAAATGTCACTTCTCTCACTCCCACATGACAAAGAACTGGATTCTCCTACGAGTGGCTGATCTGCTTAATGTGGCAAGACAGGTAATATTTCTGGGAAGCCATCTCCTCCTCCTGAGAGAGCTGGAAGCAATTTTTGTGATTGACTGTTTTAATGTAATGGGTATATTTATCCAAGCTATAGACTCTGATCAATAATATTAAGTAGGTGAGCACAAGCTGCCATCTAAAGTGACTTGTAGTCTCTTGTGAGTGAGCTATGCATCAGCTACTCTTGTTGAAGTTTATTAAAATTCAACCTCAGGTTTACACCTTGTCTTAAGGACTGTCAAACCCGACAGTCCTCCCCTAGAGGGCGCTCCACTACTCCTGTCATTAGTCCGGTGATTGTTGCTATGTTCACTAGGTACACCCTGTTATGTGCAATGTTATTTAAATTCTAGTTCCTCCAGTCCTCGGGGGCTCAACATTAGGGTACGGATGTTGCGAGGCCCGCCTAGCACCAGGATACCCAACATCCGTCTCCTGAGGGCATAGGCCTCATCCCCGACACCTCCCGTTTCCTGAGCCCGGGGTCTGGAGGAAGTCTCCCCGTCATCCTAGGACCTCCATGTTTTCCATGTCTTCGTGTTTTCCTCCTTCCCGGGGATTTTAACCTTGTCGTGACAGAGGACGGATTTATTGTTGATGGAGTCATTGACTGTGCCATGACCTGCCTTTGGACCTGCTCTGATTTGGATGCCATTCTTTGTCACCCCTGCTCACTGTCTCATGGACTGTCGCTGTTATTCTGTGCACCATTAAACCCCTGTGTGTTCTCCCACACCACACCTCCTGTTTTCTCCAACTCTTACCACATCGCATAGGATCTACAACAAAACCCGACACGGACTGTGAATACAGGAAGAGTCTATAAAATGGTCATTTGCACTCCCAAATTAACAATGCAACAATCTTAACAGATCTTTGTGGAAAGTAGGCTGATCTGTGCTAAGCTGCACAAGTAAAAGAGGAGAGAGAATCTATTTCAGTGTGACGAATGTAAAGCTCCTTTCCAAATGTGAATCCAATGGGTTAGAAAAAGAGTATGTCAATATCCTGCCGTACACAATTACACTGTCTGCTTGAAGAAACAGATCTTGTATGCCTTGATTCTTTTAACCAACCAACATTTGCTTTAGGCACGCAAAGACTGAGAAGAAATAAACACAAACACAAACCAAATTCTAATTCCATTGAATCTATAATTCTGAGCCACAAGAAAAGAATACTCACCATGCCTAGAAGAAGCATATGGTATGGTAATTTCTGATTTCTCAAACATTGTTGACAACTAATTTGTCTCATAATTAACCACACCACTCCTTGTGCTTAACCAGCAACACATTCACAAAAGGTTTCTTCTCTCAGAAGTGCAATTGGGATCTGCAATCTGACAACCACCTACTGCAGTGGAAAATACATTACATGCATTAACAAAACGTTTACACCCACCTAGCAACATAAATTAAAACTCAAATATGGCCTTGGAGTCATATTTGATGTCACTGTGATGCTTAAGGGTGGCATGGTGGTATAATATTTAGCATTACTGCCTCATAGCGCTGGGGTCCTGGGTTTAACACTGGACCTGGGTTGCTATCTGAGTGGAGTTTGTAAATTCTCTCTGTGTTTGCGTGGGTTTCCTCTAGGTGCTCTGATTTCCTCCCACAGTCCAAAGACATGCTGGTATGTAAATTGGCCCTGCTAGGAGTGAATGTGTGTATGTGTGTTTGCCCTGTGATGGACTGGCAGCGCAACCAGAATGTATCCCACTTTGCGCCTATTGCTTGCTGGGATAGGCTCCAGCTCCCCTGTGACCCTGAATTGGAAGAAGTGGTTAGAAAATGGATGGATGTGATGATTACTAGAAAGTGAAAAACATGCCAGTGGACACAAAGGAAATATTGAGAAGGTCCCCTTAATGTTCTCAAAAGAAACAAGCAACCCTTTGAGTAACATTATCTTTAAGGTTAAGGCCTTGTACTGAATTTCACACCAGTTAAAACTGATTTTCTGTCAGCTTTCAAATAATCATTCCACTTCCATATTTCTAATCCCTGAGAGAATCAAGAAAAAAACATCCTGAAGAAAGGGTTTTGTGATAAAAACTAAACTGCCTTTTGTCCTTCTCAGACAGTATCAGTTAGCAGTTTACACTGTTTGTCCTTTATTCTGTCTAGAATGTTTCACAGCATTCACAGCAGAGTGAGTGAGTTGAAAAAAGCATGTCTTTGATGTTGAATAATCTTAAAACTTTTCTTCAAAATCCTCAAATCCAGTTTCTTTCCTTTCTCTCCTCCATAATTGTGATTAAATGTAAATGACTAAATGTAAAAAAAACCTCCAATTTCCCAAACACCAAAGGGCAGTCTACAGTTTTCTGTTTGGCTTTTTGCCCTTTACGTCACTAAAACATATAATTAATTAAATTGATATATAAAATGTTACAAAATATTTATAAATATAAAATGCTGACTCTTTTCCAGAAAACATTTTAATTTTTTTAAATGAGAATTTGACCTTTATTGTTCGGCACTAGTATTCCATGAGATCATCCCTGTCCGGGTAGGATGTTATCATCTTAACACTAATGTTGTAAGTGGAATTTTAATGAATCCAACAAGAATGACTCTCAGAATTTCTGGATAAGAGTACATTTTGTCCTTGCACTAAGACTAATTCAAATATGCTGTTATAAGGGGTTAGGGGAAATTTCCTGAGGAAACTCGCTGATTCTTCAACAAACTGAGCATTGTATGTGGCAGAGACAGGGGAATTCTCTTTATCAATGTGGGATTTCCACTGTATAATAAAGCTGTGAGTTCAGCCACAGGTACTGTACAGCAAGCTCAAAGACTGTGTAGCACCTGTGTTCTTCTCAAAGTTAGTCTGATTTTGGTTCAAGGGGTAAAACCAAGTGAAACCTGAGACAGACTCAAGCACTCAGACTCAGTGTGAATGGCACACATTGAAATAACAGAAAGCAGTAAGATTCAGCCAAAAACTGATCAGGAAAAGCCAGATTCAGAGGGCTTCTGTCCTCGCCTTATAAAACCATTTTAACATATTATCCAAATTACGCTGTCCTCCTCAGTCTTATAGAGTCATTGTGAAGTAAGAATATTGCTTAGAGATTTAGAAATTAATTTTTGCTTTCTGAAATACATACAATGTATATGTGTTGTCCAAGTAACAGAACAGCTTTAATTATGTATCACTGGTCTTTGAAACTGATAGGATTGCTTAGTAATAGGGTATTACATATTTTGTAATTCCTTGAAACTATTTCAAGCCTTTTATGAAAATGAACAATGCAAGCGATATTGGTACAATAGTAACTTTTTTTGTAAGGGTCTTTACCTTGAAAGTACAGGGTTCAAGAATCTAAACATGTCTTGGCTACAAACAATGTTACAGCCTGTAATTTTTTATTTCTGTGACCAAGGGGAGCAGCAAACCATCTGAGTGATATACAGTTGTAAATGTAGTTTCTCTGTAAATGATGGATTGTGGAGAAACTGAAGTAATGATAATTCTGTGTATTACTTGCTATATTTTTCAATGAAGAGGTCAGGTGATAAATTATATTTTAATTAAAAAATGTGAGTAAAGAATATTTGAAACAGGCATGGTAGTAAAATTTCTTTCATCTCACTTGCTAGGTGAATCAGTTTCATTTCCTCCCACTGGACAGAACTTTATTTTTTAAAGACGTACAAATCTCAGCAAGCTTCAATCTCAAATCCCTCTCAGAAGAAAAAAACTGAATGAGTGCTTTCTGAAACTCCACTTCTCTATATTTATAAAATACTTCTACACTTCAATGTCAGCAGTTCATTTTCATCCCAGCATACCAATGGACCTTTTTTAATTAACTTAAAGAAAGTAACACAAAAATATTTTGGAAAACCTGCACATTGAGCAAGGAGTTTGGACTGAAGCAGTCAGCAGGTCTGATACTATGACTTCAATGCTATAAGACACAGTGCACACAAAGTAAGGGCCTTTGCGACATGAACCATCCCACTGACCCTTGTCCCTGCATTTCTGAAATAGTAAGGAAGCAACTATCATTGGCAGCACAATGCATGGGTTTACCCACTGGTATGTGGGGATACTGTATCTGGGAGAGCCTTCACAGATAGTCAGGAATCCAAGCACACATTCACCGCAAGAAGGCCTAAATACAATCACACTAAATAAATAGATTGGCTTTCATTTACATGAATGTTTCAGCTATGTTTTTTAAACAGCTATAAGTCTTCTGTACAGGTTATAGTATTCTAAAATACTGGTGGGGCAACAGAAAGTGATGTATAATAGAATTTGAAAACCAGGGTCAGTGCTAGATTATGTGTCTGACAGCCTTTTGATGGGAGGTACAAAGAAAGAGTACATCTTCACTTTTTTGCTGTCTTGACCCTCTTTTTAATTTCTGGGTTCTCAGTATGTCCACCCTCATTTTATGATGGGGGGCAAAGTTTTTTTGGGGGAGGGCAATAGTGTCTTGTACTGGACCTAATAAGAACACCTTCTACACTCTATTGCTGAGTGGCGCTGAAATAAGAAAAGCATAGCTCTGGAACAGTACAGTACTGCAGCTTTCTCTTACACAATTCCCCTGCAGATACAATTGAAGCCTTTTCCCCGCAATCTAGCCCAGCCTACATTCAGCAGAGCAGGAAATGAGGAAGAAAAAGTCTAATTGATTTAAAAAAGGTCATGTGAACAGACATCACAACAAAACATGTGACTTCATGTTACAATACCACCCCTTGACTGTCTCTTCTCCCTAAGGCAAACACTGAATAGATGCAAAACCAAGGGGAATTTCTACACAATCGAGTTGGCATAGCTTGTCACATCTTTTTCTTGAAGTCAAGGTGAAATTGGAACGTGTTTGACAGTGCTCAGTAAACAAACATGTACAGTATTTGCAACTGGAAATTCACAGTTAATTTGACTAATTAATGAGTATGTATGGGTGCAAATTAAGGCTATGAGTAAAATTACATAAGCCCTAAGTTTCAGCTGGACCTTCAGTAGTATGGTGACATTTCTGATTGACTTACATGGTTTGTTCTGATTAGCAACATTGCTGGATGTGCAAAATATTCCTATATACTGAAGTTCAATTAAAGTTGTTGTTGGATGTTTGAAGGGTATTTGCCAGTATCTATACCACCCTCCAATTCACAACTGGGAACTCACTGAAGCTTAGCAGATGTGAACCTGGCTAGAACTGTACCTGGATGGGAGACCTGGGAAAGCGAAGGCTGCTGCTGAAAGTGGTGTTAGTGGGGCCAGTAGGGGATGCTCTCCCTGCTGTCTGTGTGGGTCCTAATGCCCAAGTATAGTGACAGGGACACTATACTGTAAAAAGGTGCTGTCCTTCAGATGAGATGTAAAACCAAGGTCCTGGCTCTCTGCGTTCATTATAAATCCCAGGGAGTTTCTCAGAAGGAGCAGGGGTATTACTCTGGCATCCTAGCCAAATTCCCCATTGGCCTTTAAAAATCATGGCCTCCTAATAATCCCCATCTATCAATTGGCTTCATCACTCTGTTTTCCTCCTCACTGACAGCTGATGTGTGGTGAGCGGCGTACTGTGCGCACAATAGCTGCCGTTGCATCATTAGGTGGATGCAGCACAGGGAAGTCCCCATTAACTGTAAAGTCCCTTGAGTGGAGTGTCCAGAAAAGTGCTATACTGTATAAGGAATGGGCTGATTGGCCTCCTCTTATTTGGAACCATTCTTACTTTAAAACCTGGGTCCCTGCAGACTTTCTCATTTACTGTAAATGTAGATACCTACTGGTCTTTAAGCAAAATTTTGTATCAGGCTTGGGCATGGCTATCCCATCCTAGCCCTAGAAGGTTAATGTGTTTGCAGGTGTTAATTCCAGCTCATACATCTTCTTGTTGTTGGCTTAACTGGACAAATGTAACCTTCTTGTAGCTCTTCAGGTGCTGGTGCTTTAAAGAGCCCTAGAAAACTTGCAGACAAAATTTTTGTAGTGGTTATATTAAAGTAGTGCAACAACACAATTGTTCGCATTTGTAAAGTGTCAGGTAATAATAATAATAAGCTTTACACTTATATAGTGCTTTTCTGGATAATTCTAATTTAGTTGATATTCTTTTACACTTCAGTTATTGTCACTGAATTGTATTAAAAACAGAGTACTTGTAAAAACGTACTTAAACTAAGGTTAACAGAAAAGCATGGAACAGACGACAGAATCGGAAACTACTTTGAAGAACATTTAATCCTGCAAAAAAGAGGCATTTCTTTATTTCAAGGGTTGTGGAACCCTGGTTTCTCTCAAGCAACAGCCAGATGAGCACCTTGGATTAACTGACTGCCTACAACCAAACAGGATAAAAGGACCAAATGACCATTTGATTTTACTTTCTTATATCTGTGCTTCAACTTTAACTCTTTCAGATCTGCACCTGTGGCTGGAAGGTTCCCGGTTCAAATCCCGCGGTCGGCAGAGGAACTCTGCCATTGGGCCCCTGAGCAAGGCCTTTAACTCCAACTGCTCCAGGGGAGCCGTATAAATGGATGACCCTGCGCTCTGACCACAAGCTTCTCTCTCCCCGTCTGTGTATCTGTATGTCTCATGGAGAGCAAGCTGGGGTATGCGAAAAGTCAAATTCCTAATGCAAGAAATTGTATATGGCTAATAAAGTGATCTTATCTTTTAATTTAAGCAACAGTTCGATAGTTTACAGTCTGAATATTCTTTGTAGCAGACCAGTAGGCTGACTTTACTAATGATTACATTTACATTACACAGGTCTGGTTTATACAGTATACAGTATCTAACTTTATTTCATTCCACCGTGTTCCACTCACTGTTTACACACCCACACACAACCTCCCTCAAACTGCTGCTAAGTCCAACCCCTCCTACTGTCTGCCTCATGTCAGCTCCTGCTTTGTCTCTGATACTCATCTGTACCCTACTACAAGCCTCTGAAACAGAGCCTGCCACAGCCTATTCACATCTATACTGTCTCCCTTCTATACAGTTATTTTCATTTGATTGCACCTCCATCGTCTGATGCTTACTAGGTCTTCCCATCTATGCCCAAGCTGACAAGTATTGTGATTCTACCTGGAAATCAGCATTTAGAGCACTGCTTGTCATAGACAGAGAGATTAAACAGCAACCAGAGTTTTCTTTCAAGTTCCCATGAGGACAGGGATATGATAGAGGTGGAGCCCATGACAATTCCTGAGGATAAAAATGGCTCAGCCCCATCCACTGGGATACATACTGTAAACCTGCCAAATGCACCTCATAGGATGCCAGGAGAAAGAGAGACCTGTCATTATGCATTATGGGGTGTTGATTCACTAGATATGTGTAGTAGCAGTGATTCACCTGTCTATACTGTGGACCTTTAGAGTAATCTGTCTAACCATGCTGTAGAAACTTACTCAATTGGGCTTCTTCAGAAAGTAGTTTGACAAGATCCTTCTATAAATAATACTAGCTAAGCATTATATAAAATTCGGTCTTAAGTAGTTCAATCAGTTGAGGTGCTAACTAGTAGCTCAGGCTGAGCCCTACAGTAAAGAAAGTGTTGTCCCATTTTATTATCCATTTAACCAAGATCCTCCAAGCATCATGAGTGCTACAGCGATTGGATGGACCCGATTTAGTCATGCTGTCTTCATCCTGACATTTACCAGCTGGTGCTTCAGAGCTCACAGTGTCAAACAGCGACTGGCTCTGACAGCTGGGGAGTAAAGTGTGTGCAGATCCTCATTTCTTAAAGCCTCCATAAATTGGTCCACTTGGGTCACAGTGGAATGCCTACCTGATCAACAAATTTCAATTACAAATTAGGTAATTATATACGCAAAAATGACTGAAAATTTCAAATGAAAATAATTGTAGTTGAAAAAGAAGACAGTTCTGATATGGAGTGTTTACCATTTACCTTACCTGGCATTATTTACAAAAGTCAATGTGATTAAAAATCCAATCAACAAAATAATGTAAACTCCTGAACACGTAATGATTTATTAAAACTATACATATTAGGCTGATATTGTACAGCACACAGATATCTGCCTTCATACCTTTGGCACACTGCCTGGGCATCTTTCATGGTGTTTCCTGCTTCTAGTATGTTCTGAGGATCAAAAGTCATCATTGCCTGCATCTGTAATATTGTGGCATATGTGAGGGAATGGTACATGCTTTCTTTGGTTCTGAAAGAGAAAAGGGAAGAAAAAAGCACATTAATGTTTTTTTTTACTGCTGTATAAAGCCATTTCTGTTCCATTATCTAGAACAGCTATTTTGGAATCACCTCTTTGTACCTTTTTGAGAGGCCTGTCTCTGCAGTGTCTATATCCAGAAAACAAAACAAGCTTTTGTTGAGTCAGTTTCTCTGGGAGTCACTCTCATCACAATGAAATTGACAAAAACACATTTTATAACGCAAACTGACAAACAAATACAATAAAAGGCACTTCTTTGGTCCTGTTTGGGGCTGTCTGACTTGTCATTTTTTGTTGTTGGGATTTGAACAACCTATTCCCAATCATGCCACAAGCTTGTAGAAGCAATAATATTTCAATCTCCGATCACATGGCTCAGAGAAACTGAAACTGGGGGGGATATACAGAACTTGTGAACTACACTGCTATATTATATTCTACTCCTTTCCTATTTTAAGATTCTGTTGTGTTGGGTTGAAAATCTCTATTGAATTGCACTCAATAACAAATCAAATTACTACCCCCACAGTCACTTACTGTACTGTATATTAACCAGGGCACTTGTGGAAACTGCTGCTGAATCAAGCAAATTAAAAGCAAATTAAATAAATTTCTACAACAATGTCACATGCTATCCTTGTAGTTTGTGCGTATATCAGTCTTCCAGATATATCCTATTCTGTGAGCAAAATTAAGATTAAATCTCCTATTTCATGCAGTGTCTGGGTGCCCCGCAAAATAATACTATTGACAGAGCATTTAGTTTCAACACTACATGTTAACATTTTGCTCATATGAGCCATAGAACCTCTCAATTTTATTTATCTAGCTGATGTCTTGATAATCAGCAGTTAATTATTTAGTGAACTAGTAAAAACTCTCATTTCCTAGTTCTTAAGTAGCCTGATGAATCCAGCTCTAGTGCCTTGAATGCACAGCAATAAATTTAAATGGTCAATATGCTCGATCCTGAACCAGACCAGTGTGCAATATCAAACTCTGTAACATTTCAACCTGTCTTTATGTATTCGGGTCGATCACATGTCTTTTGTTGAGGAAGCAAGGAAAATAAATGAACCGTTGCTAAAACATTCCTAACTAAATTATTCCACTGATTCCACACAAAATCTGTGAGATATGGAAGTAACATATTTGAGTTGTTCAGAGAATTTCGGATTAAGTTCCAGAATATGGAGGTAGAATGCCTAATTTGAACTAAACCACAACTCTATTCAGTCTTATTTTTCATAAAATAAAATTGATTAGTCGTTAAATAATCTCTCAATCTGACAATTCAGAGTAGTAAGCATTAGCATTAGCATTAATGCAGCTGCTGCTAAGACAGATCATGACCCACATACTCATGATTCTTTTGAAACAGGTGTACAATGCTCATTGAATCTTGTGAAGTTGCTATGGCAACTCTTACTTCTACAATTGGTGTTTGGTAGCTGCATAAAGTGAAATTGTTATGTATTTCGCTTTTGTGTGGTCTGTCAGAATTGCTGCATAGGTAAAATAAACTGCTTACAAAGTGAAACAAAAACCATATGGAAATGTAAATCAGCATTAATAAAACAGTTTGCAGTGATAACAAATAGGTGTTCTTAAAATATGTTTGGGTTAAGCACAGCTCATAGGTGCTGAACTAGTTCTACATATTACTGTAAGAGAATTAAACAATCATGCATAACATTCAACAACAGCTGCCAGCAGCACTAGTCTTCAGCAGGTTTATACGAGTGGAACAGTCTGATGGCAGAGCTGAAAGTGATGTTTAAGCAAAGCACTACTGTTTATGTTTTGTGGTTTGCACTCCAGCTGTACATGAGGAAAACAGTTTAAATGGCCTTGCTACAAGTGCTAATGTAACAATTTCAGAACAGTTAGTAATCAAAATTATAATAAATTCCAAACTTTTTTCACTCTCGTATTTATCCTGCCAGTCAAAAAAGTATAAACCAGTAGAATATGAAGTCAAAGCCAGCAGTTTATAAATAAGATACACAAACAAGATTATTGTTCTGAAGAAAAGGGGCTATTTTTGCTTTTATGATTGAATTTTTCAATTTCAGCACCACTTGGTTACATTAGATTTTGTTTGTCTCTTAGAAACAAACAGTCTTAAAAAATTCCAGACTTGAAGTTGACCTCTCTCATTCATTAATAAACTCAGTGGGTATGCACATGGATTTTGTTTGATTGAAAATGTATTTACATAATGTCTTGCTTGTGTCAGTAAGGAAAGAAGGAAGTCTGTTGAAAAAAATCATTTAAAATTGTACTGTAGGTTTCATCAGTTTGAGAATGTGAATAACAATTACAAGTTTAGGATGAGACAAAAAACATTAAGAATCATGGAATGTTTTGAGAAGTGCTGCCACTCAAATCTTATCAGCTGGAAAAGCTTCAGCGTCTGTTCATCCTAGTAGTTCCAGAAGATCTTCAGAACCTTTACCTGAACAAGCCTAAACAAACCTGAATGTACTTTGAGAAAGCAACTTACATTTTCTGTATGTACTGGAGGAGCAATTCAAAAAGCACATGATAACAGCAGACAACAAGATTTCATGGTCTTCCAACTGAAAATAAAAATGTGTTTCCAGGTTTGATGATATTTCAAAATGTCAAAGTAGTAACAAAGTTTAATTTTTAAACTTACATGGGTTCTCAGTAACTTAACACCCATTTTAAAGGAAACTTGCTGTTCTTGCTCTAGTGTTCATCTGAATCCACCTTTCTCACATACAAAGCTTGTACTATACTCCTTTTACTCCTTGTCAGTTCCCCTCTTGTTGGCTTTTAGATCTCTATTGCACTTCATATACTTTTGTCTATTAGGCTAAATGCAGAGTTAGTAAGATAGAAAAATCTACATGAATATATTTTTAACTAACTACAAGTTCAAAATTTGTATTCTGAAGACAGAGTTGGCAGAAGACCCACCTAGAAGACGAGCTAGGCCATGTGGAATCTTCAGTAGCTAATAATTACTCTGACAAACACTTAATGATTTTCAAATCATTATCAACATTGAAAACATCGACTTTTGTGTATTTAAACAAAGTGCAAGGCTACTTGGAACGCACAGTGATTACAGCATGTTTATTTGTCATCAGAGTCAAATTTATGATGATGGTAAAACAAAAATTTAGGGAAGTTGTTTTATTTATATCATGACATTACTAACTTGTCACCGTATGTGTTTATTGCAATGGGAATCCATATCCAGACTTTATATACTGTATGTGTGTGCCCATCCATCCAACTATTATTGGAAAGTCACTCTTTTTGGCAAAGGTAGCAGAAATCCATCACAGGGCTGAAGGAGTGCCTACACTCTGTACAAGATGCCACTCAATCACAGGGCATACACACATGCTGGACGTCTTTAGAGATCCCGGTGAATCTAGCCAGCAAGTCTTTGGGTCATAGGAGGAAACTGGAGCAACAAGACAAAACTTATGTGGAAATGTTCATCTGACTCACAGAGCTCGTTTCCACAGAGCAAACCCAAACAGAAGGTATTCCAAGCCAGAATTAAAACCCTGTACCCAAGAGCATGAGTCCCATAAATGAGTCAGCAGTGCTAACTGTCACTCAGATACAGTATAAGCCCATTGGTCATTAAGATATTCCAATCACTCTGAAAGCATGTATTAGAATTATAAGTTTCTATACAGACCATCCATCCATTTTCTAACAGGGGAGCAGGGGAGCCAGATCCTATCCCAGCCAGCAACTGGTGCAAAACAGGATATACACTGGAGAGGATACCAATCTATCATAGGGCATACACAGACACTACAGGGCCAATTTTCCCAGAAGCTAGGTAGTCTACCTGTATATTTTTAGACTATGGGAGGCAACTGGAGCATCTAGAGAAAGCCCACATGAACACAAGGAGAACATATTCTATGTAGATAGCACCACAGGTCCAGAATTGTGCCCAGGGAAACAGTGCTGCAGAGCAGCAATGCTAATTACTATTTCTATCCAGAACGATCCTTCTAAATACTGTACAGTACACGCTGGGTGAAAGAAAATTAATTCTGGTTGTTTCTTCTTTCTCAATAGGTATTGCTCCATCTGCATGCAAAATGATACTTTTCCATGAACTGTGTGCAGGCTAGGGGGGGGGGTTCATCTTTTCCTTTTGTTTGCCCAGCAATACTTTGATTATCGCTTATAAAGGAAACAGAGCTCTTTGTGTGGAGGAACATCTGATAGTTGCTCTGGAGACACTATAGTTCCACATGACAGTATGCTGTGGCACTGCCAGCTCAGGCTGGATGAGTACGTGAGAAGGGAACAAACAGAAAAGTAAAGGAGGTTCTTCTGGACTGCCAGTGGCATCCATATGGCTTTGAAAGTGCTCTCTTAGCGACACTGAGAATCTACAGCAAGACACACTAGATTCAAACCATGGCAGAACGATAAAATTGCCATAATTATACAGTATTTAAGGGTCACAAGCTTTTTCTTTGCACGGTAGGGAACCACAGCAAGATCACATGACTCACCAATCACTATCTTTGTCATCAGGTAATTTTTGCAGTAGACAGTAGTACCTAATAAATGCCATAAAAATGTAGCTCAACACAACCACACTACAAAAAGCTATCCTTACAAAACAATTCGATCTGGTGATATGCCTACTGTGGCCATCAAAGGGACGGAGATGAATAGCTATATATTTTGTTTTCAGTTGTGCAAAGCAAATAAACAAATTTGATCACAATAAATCCTTGGCCTCTTGGTTTGATTGCATATCCAACTACCTTTACTAACTTAGTGATGCATGATAATTCTTTTCTTGCAGTAACTTGTAGGGCCTGTCAAAAGAGATTTTCAACTTATTTGAAAAGAACTAGTGAAAGTCCAAGTGGATGTTTTCACTCTCAACTCATAACACAAGAGAACAAGAAAGTAAAATAATAAGCAAGAAGACAAATTTGTGACCGCACTCGGGTGTATGTCACATCTCAGCTGTGGGATGTGTTTTATTGAACAGCTTTAAGAAACAGCCATGGAAAGTTCTTGAATGAATGCAAAATAAATTTGTGTGAAAAGCTCCTTCTTGTTAGTAACTTTTTAATATGAAAAAAACTATCATTATTAAGCCATTATTTGCTTCGTGATTCAGGATAAGATATACACATATGAAATTCTACATAATAGTTTGTTTGCTTTATGAAAACCTTTTGAAATTAAAATTTTATATCCATTCTGGAAAAAGAATTTAGGATAAGTAACCTCTGGAGAAGCGTTTAAATAATTGCCACCTTTAAACAACAAATACACAAGTGGTGCATTAACCTTCTCAGAATAAACATTGGAAATACATGTGGCATTAATGTAACATCCTCAGAGACAAATCAAGTTAAACAGTTAAAACAAGTGACTATTTTCTAGACTCATTGTACATACACCTCATTGCAGTCCATATTCAGATTCCTATATCATCTGGTTTTGAAAATGAACCATGTCATATTAACTTTATTCTCCTTGAGAACTGAACATCAGGACAAACACAGCCCCCAGCCATCCCAGGTGTCTGAACAGCTTCTCTGTCAACCTCGTTCAGCTTCACAGACAGCCCCTCTCCTTATATAACACAGCCCTTGAGAACAGCTCCCCACCCTGTCTATGCAGCAAAGCTGGGAATGGGGTGGGGCCACACTGTAATTTAGAACAAAAAAATAAGCAAAGTCACGGGCTGTCAAGCTGCAAGTCTGAACAGTCAGCAGTAAGGCAATACCCACTCACTGCACAAGCTGTGTCTCATCTATCTTGTTGGCAGAATTTGTGCAACTTGTGTTTATATACAGGTATACTGCATGTCCTATATGAGCTATATGTCCTATATAAAAATAACCAGACAGAACTCCACCATTCTAATATC